GTCAAAATGTACTGATTCCTTAATTGTAAAAATGCTACCGTATATGACGTCACAATCGCAAGAGCTGTAATGAATTAGGTGACTTTATTTTAGGCTAAAATGTAGATGTACAATAACTCAAGTGCAATCGTATTAGATACTTTGAATTGTCATTCATAAGTCCACCTTCATGCTTTATTTCTGGCCGATGTGAATGTTTATTGTTTGATATTTTCTTTAACATGAACCCTTTTTCCTTATTTTTGCTCATGTCAGGATATATAAATATCTCCTTGAAGGAGTTAACAACTTTCAAAATATGTAAACTTTCGACTAACGCTGGAAAGGAACTATGTCTTTTTATGATAGTGGAATAACTCAGTCGGTAGCCAGTTGTATAGTCTGATAGGCGATTAGGTGCCTTGAATTTAAGTGATCCTGAAGGTAAAAAAAACTCTAGTGCCACGAGAGTCGTGCGGTGATGGCTTTCACTCTTAATACCTACACTATTGTACTTACTGATGACGTGTATTGTAAGATCACTGTAAGTATATTGATTATAATAACATCTCCACACTTTACCATTATCTCTATAATAATCTATAGATTTTATAGTTAGTTTATGTTCAGCTCCACAGTTTTTATATTCATAGAAATTTCTATCAGATTCTTGATTAAATATACAATTAAGACCATTCTGTATATTTGACTCTCCAAAATAGATGTCGTCTTTATACGAGTGCATTCCTCCTAGAAACTTTTAATGTTCTAGTGATATTTTGTTGAATTGATATAAAAATATTTAAAAACAATTAATTATTACTTTATTGCAACAGGATCTGGACGAGAAAGATAAATAATATATTACTATAAAAACGATCATTTCCGAACAGAATTCTGAATACTTTTGAAGATAAGGAATATTCAAGGAACATAAGATCATCCTAAGATCACTTTTTGAAATTTTACCCTAATTAGAACAGACGTGTGTTATGATTTATAACGAAAAATGGATATTTCATACTTACAGGTAACAGATAAAGTAATGCTATTGGATGAATGATAATCATCATTGTAATAAATCTCACAATTCCAAACTTTACCATTATCTCTATTATAATCTATAGATTTTATAGTAAGTTTGTGTTTAACTCCACAGTTTTTAAATTCATAGAAATTTCTGTAATATTGATTGTAAAAACGACATCCACCATTATGATTGCTTGACCATGCAATGTGATGACTGTCTTGATACCAGTTAACGAAAGTATCTCCTCTTGTTATACACTCAAGGGTATATTCTTCACCTTGAATAGCCTCACCTGAACCTTGTATTGATACTGAAATATATTGATGATATACTGCATACTCCACCAAAGAATTGTACATCAGGAATTAATTTTAATTAAGATCTTATTTACGACGGAAATAAAAAGGAAACACATTTTAAGCGATGTATTTCTATTTTTAAATTAAAGAAAATTTCATTAACGATAAGAATGAGATATAATATGTGTTATTTCATAACATATAATACTATCATAAATAGTAACAATAATAACTTTATTTTAGGACCCATTAAGAAGACAAATTAAATGAATATGAAAAAAGATTAGATTTTGTTTTAAGGGTATTATAGCAACGAAAGAACCACAAACCCAATTCGAATACTTCCAGTTCAAGATACAAAGATGTTGGCGTGCATTGGTCATAGACTATTTAGTCCTTCGCTCCACCAAGAAGAACAGCAGCCCCTAGGTCTGAGGTTCGATAACGAAAATCCCCTTGAAGGCTCTTTCGAATCGCTTGATCCGGCTTACCATGTCATAAAACGGAGGTACTGGCATTTTAACACTAACTCTCTCATTGAAAAGTAGGATAATGAATAGACAAATTTTTATTTATTTTTATCACCAAAAATGACTTACTTGATTGGGACCTTGCTTCCACATAGTTCATTACAATAATCAAAAATGTTATTATAAATCTATAATTTATATCCATTTTGTTTGAAACACATTAGATTACCCTGAATAGTATTCATATAAACATTAAGAAAGCGGCTTTTATATTACATTTGACTTCCTCAATTGGTTAGTTGATAATAAGATTTGATATAAGCTTATACCCTTTATGTAAATATAGGTTACCAGGAAGGATGTAAATTCTGCTTTACTAAATCAATGCAAACAAGATGAGATTATTATATTAAAGAATTAATGACGTTCTTGTTCAACAATCAAAATGGCCTTGAGTATCCACAAAGAACTTTATAGTAATAGAAAGAAGCAACTTATTCTACAATCAAAAGTGATTTGTCATGCGGTACAACATTATAATATAAGATAACATACGCCCACTGGCAGCTGTCAGAAATAATAAAACAGTCTTTAGTGACTAGAGTACGAATTTTCTCATATTGAAAAAATTATTCATGCTGAATAATTCCACAAAATTTTTTAAAATCAATATCAATAACCCAAATACAACAATTAAATCACACAGCTCTAATCAAGGGCAAAAAACAACTTTTGACGCGTGTTTACAAAGTCAAGGGCAATAACTCAAATGTTCATCAAAAATATCTCTTGTTAGAACTTGTCCGAGATCTTATCAATTCCAATGATCACACCAAGTTTCATCAGAATCGGTTGAAAACTGTAGCTTCAATCCTGCTCACGAACTATTTTCAACAAATATTGACCCGTTTTAACAAAGTCAAGGGCAATAACTCAAAAAACCGTTCTTCGAAAATGCGTCAAGTTAGAACTTGTCCGAGATCTTATCAATTCCAATGATCACACCAAGTTTCATCAGAATCGGTTGAAAACTGTAGCTTCAATCCTGCTCACGAACTATTTTTAACAAATATTGACGCGTTTTACAAAGTCAAGGGCAATAACTCAAAAACCGTTCATCGAAAATGCGTCAAGTTAGAACTTGTCCGAGATCTTATCAATTCCTATGATCACACCAAGTTTCATCAGAATCGGTTGAAAACTTTAGCTTCAATCCTGCTCACGAACTATTTTTAATCAATTTCGACGCATTTTAACAAAGTCAAGGACAATAACTCAAAAACCGTTCATCGAAAATGCGCCAAGTGAGAACTTGTCCGAGATCTTATCAATTCCAATGATCACACCAAGTTTCATCAGAATCGGTTGAAAACTGTAGCTTCAATCCTGCTCACGAACTATTTATAACAAATTTTGACGCGTTTTAACAAAGTCAAGGGCAATAACTCAAAAACTGTTCATCGAAAATGCATCAAGTTAGAACTTGTCCGAGATCTTATCAATTCCAATGATCACACCAAGTTTCATCAGAATTGGTTGAAAACTGGAGCTTCAATCCTGCTCACAAACTATCTTAAACAAATTTTGACGTGTTTTTACAAAGTCAAGGGCAATAACTCAAAAACCGTTCATCGAAAATGCGTCAAGTTAGAACTTGTCCGAGATCTTATCAATTCCAATGGTTACACCAAGTTTCATCAGAATCGGTTGAAAACTGTAGCTTCAATCCTGCTCACGAACTATTTTTAATCAATTTCGACGCATTTTAACAAAGTCAAGGACAATAACTCAAAAACCGTTCATCGAAAATGCGTCAAGTTAGAACTTGTCCGAGATCTTATCAATTCCAATGATCACACCAAGTTTCATCAGAATCGGTTGAAAACTGTAGCTTCAATCCTGCTCACGAACTATTTTTAATCAATTTCGACGCATTTTAACAAAGTCAAGGACAATAACTCAAAAACCGTTCATCGAAAATGCGCCAAGTGAGAACTTGTCCGAGATCTTATCAATTCCAATGATCACACCAAGTTTCATCAGAATCGGTTGAAAACTGTAGCTTCAATCCTGCTCACGAACTATTTATAACAAATTTTGACGCGTTTTAACAAAGTCAAGGGCAATAACTCAAAAACTGTTCATCGAAAATGCATCAAGTTAGAACTTGTCCGAGATCTTATCAATTCCAATGATCACACCAAGTTTCATCAAATCGGTTGAAAATTGTAGCTTCAATCCTGCTCACGAACTATTTTTAACAAATATTGACCCGTTTTAACAAGACAAGGGCAATAACTCAAAAACCGTTCATCGAAAATGCGTCAAGTTAGAACTTGTCCGAGATCTTATGAATTCCAATGATCACACCAAGTTTCATCAGAATCGGATGAAAATTGTAGCTTCAATCCTGCTCACGAACAATTGTTAACAAATTTCAAGGCGTTCTAAGTCAAGGGCAATATCTCAAAAACCGTTCATCGAAAATATGTCAAATTCGAACTTGACCGAGATCTTATCAATCTACAGCATCACACCAAGTTTTATCAAAATCAGATAAAAACTGTAGTCTTTATAGTGCTCACAAGAAATGTTGACGGACGGACCGACGGACAGGGGCGACGACAATATACGACCACATATTCATGTGGGCGTATAAAAATTTACTTTGTCGATGATAACAGGGTCAGGGACAGCACAACCTGACCTCTGATACAGAAAATATTACAATATTCATATACATTGTTTGTATGTATATTTTTGTATATAATGAAATACAACTGCAACAGTTAATATGTGTCACGCTTGCACTTGGTGTCAGATAACAAACTCCTTAAATACAATAGACCTAAAGACTACAGTTATTCTTTACAAAATGATATGTTACCTCCATTGATCTTGAATACTGACAATTCTGTAGTTGTGTCAGTATTTAACCAATTTTCATAAAGTTTGAAATGTATGTTGATAATTTATGTAATATATTATGTTTTACTAGCCGATGATATCCAAACATACAAAAGAAAATTCTAGGTTCTGAAGATATTGTAGGCATCTGGCATATTCCAAATATAAAATTACAAAACGAATACTCTACTATAACACATTACATACATATGGGGCAAATGGTTTAAATATTCAAATATAAATTGCAATTTCAAGTAGACAGAGAGCATTTGATATATGGTTTAATGCCAATATTACAGAAAGATTACACTATAGATCAGGCCTGCAACCAGCTCAATGTGTCAAGGGGGTCTGCCGCATTTGCATGGGGGGCAATAGCTGATAGAGGCTGATTTCAGTTTCGAATTTTGCCGGGGAGGGGGGGGGGGGGGGGCGAGTAAAGTCCCAGGGGGCACAACCCCCGCTGTCCCATAGTTACGGGCCTGCTTTAGACCAACACACAATGTAACGTTATGTAGCACGAATAAAATTAATGGATTCTTCAGTATGGATGTGATAATATAAGCATTATAATGTAAAAACTTTGTTATCTCATCACTTCTGATTTGAGAAATCTATTTAGATTTGTGCTGAAGAAAAATTCAGATGTTCCACATGTAAAAACTTTGTTATCTCATCACTTTTGATTTGAGAAATCTATTTAGATTTGTGCTGTAAAATTCTAAATGATTGATTCATCATTTTTGACAATAAGGACGATAATGTTCAAATAAACGTATTGTATAAAAGTATACTAAAATAAGCAAATGTATCTTACATGATAGCTGAAATCCGTCTTTTCAACTAGTCAATCAAACGAGCCTTTTTGAAAAGCAGAAAATCGAAAAATATTTAATATGGGTTATTGCCCTTGTTCTTAGAAATGTGTTCATTCTTTAGCTCGTAAAACCTCAGAAGGCACAAGCCTAGACTGATTTAGATGAAACATGTACCTCAAGCTTGTGCAGTATGAAACTGTTACTCTCGAAATATTTCATTTATTGATAGCTCTTGTAAAGCGCCTGGATGACCTGGCTGCCATTGCGGTGGGAGTATTACGATGGGCCATCGCTAATTTTGTCATAGACAAGGCAAGTTTCACGACTCGTTGGTTTCACTGTGAGTTGTGATAATCGTTGTTGGTCCAAGGTCTAAATATCAATTGACTTCTGGGCCTGGCTTTTATATTGGGTGGGTGACGGTCATATTTCTACAACATATGAGGACAAGATTCGTCCGTCGGTTCGTTTTGATTATTACTTATCACGATACAAGTTACAGTTTTCATTTTGATTTGAAAAAAGGCATTAGATTTCCGCTGAAAACGCTTAAAATTTAGAATCGAGACTTTTCTTGTATGCTTGAAATTTGGTATGAACACGAAGAATATTTATTATTATTATAAGTTATATTTCGGAGCAAGGGCATGGTTGTGATAGTTTATGTTGGGGGATGCGAGTATATGATGGCAGACGACAGATGATGGGGGTTGATAGTAGATGATGGTGGATGACAGTTGATGATGGGGACTGACAGTAGATGATGGTAGATGACAGTATTTTACGATAGGTGGCAGTTGATGACGGGGGATGACAGTAGATGATGGTGGATGATATAGGATTGTGGATGACAGTATATGATGGTGGTAGATGACAGTATATGATGGGGGATGACAGTAGTTGACGATTGATGATGGGGGATGACAGTATATAATAATTGGTGACAAGAAATGATGGAATATGACAGTTGATGATGGTGGATGACAGAATATGACGTATCGCATACTTTAAGAGCCAAGCAAATAAAGAGTAAGAAGCGAAGTGTCAATCCGCGAAAGGCAGATATTTATGTTACATGGTTACATTCTGTTAAGTAGTTTCTTTTAAAATTTTCAAAACATTACTCAACTGGTATTTTAACCACTTAATTAAAAGAATAGGACCGTAAAAAGTCTATTCTATTTTGTACTAAATCGGTTGAAATGAATTATATTTCGTTTGTTAAATATTGATTATAATAATATCACCATAGAGCAACATAGCGTTATAAAAAGCACAGCGAAAATGTTGGCGTTGGAATACAACGCTACAGAGATAAACAGTCCCATCTTTACTTTCAGTAGCATTGTTCAAAGACTATCTTAAATGTGAATGCAATTACATTACAAAAGGGTAATTTTTCAGGTTCTAGGTATACAAAAGCCTATGCTTTAAGATTAACATAACATTTCAAGGCATTGAACAACACTTGATATATTGATAAAATTTTATTCTGGATACATTTATAAAGTCTTTATGACGTCCAGGAGAGGTGCTCGGCATCTCATCACGGTACAAGCAATACCCGTGTTGTGCCCTGTACCCACACAGTGACAAGCATTACAGTCATTGTTTTCCACGACCTTCGTTCCAACATCATAAAATTTACCATTATACCAGCACTTATTCGCAAGTCGTGGAAAAGGTGCTTAAATTAACAATGAAACAAACAGGTCATATATTTAAAAAAGTAACAGCATCGAGTTGGCTTATATACCATAGGATAATTAACACAAAACATGACTATATTCGTTAATTTAATGCATAATTATTTAGAACGAAATTTGACTCATTGTGCTTTGGTGATATATTTCCAGAATTTATTTCTACATACTATTTTCTATTTCTATAATCAGCAATATAAAGATTCACTTCATTTACACATGCACGCACGCAATCTAACACATACTCATCATATTGAGAAAAGAACCGTCACAAACAAGCAAGAGCTCGAAAATTATTTCGTTACTTACTTCTCTTAGAAAGCGACGAACAATCATCATGGAAACAGATAGGTCTACCATCGTTACAAACACAATTGTTACAATCATTCATAAATTTATCACCATGCTTGTACGTATTCCCGTTATACACACAATCATCTGGAATAATTATTGTACATAAACATTCTGATTGTCACCTTCCCGTCATCACGGACGCAATATGATAAAATATTGATTAATTCAAAAAGTTGTCCATAATAGTAAAGGATCAGTGACTCACTGACTAATTCCAATTTGAATTTATCGTTTGGTAATTGCTGAAAATGTAAACTGCATGTCATTTGTTTATTTATTCAGGCCCATCCAATGCAATGTTTAGTTTCGTACATTAAATTTGCAACAAAATCATTCCCAAAACGAAAATCGTATATGAGAATTACCAAATAGTAAATAAAGATTCAGCAAACTCTTTAAAAAGTTAACAAGAATAACATAATTTGCGAAGTCTCATAATCAATTGAAGAATACGGTCCACCCAGCTGTAGTAGAATGCATTATTATCATTAACATATATTATTATTATTAACAAACAAACAAATATCTTTATTTATAACTTAATCAATTAATTGTGTTTTGAAATATAGTAAATATACAAAAATTAATTCATTGTGTATACATAAATTGACCTGTTTTTCAATGTTAACAAAAAATATATTTGTAAATCAAAAAGTATATTTACAATCCGTTTAGCTAAATCTCTGTACTAACTATAAAAAAAAATGTTATTTATACGAAATTTATTGACATTGTAAAACCAACATTTGTTCAATAAAAAAATTAATTTACTAGTGATTAATTTATATCATATAAATTAACGAAGCGTTTCTTTCCATATTTCGATTCCTACTTATGTGAACAGATAAGTTCCCAATTACATTTGAATCATCCATAAAAAATTAGTATTATTCATTATGATCATTATATCTTCACAGACCTACCATATTGAATGCCTGGTGGACATCCCATCAAGGTACACATACCACAATGACAAACGTTGCAGTTTTCCATATGCAGTTCTCTACACCTCTGAGGTGGGCTTGCTGAAACGATATAGAATACATGAACTCTATTGTTAAATGTAGACACGCTGAGATGGACATAGGGATGTTCGGTGTTTAATTCCGACAGTGGCTTGGTCGACAAAGTTTTCCTTTTCAATGGTACATTTCTGGAAAGTTGACATAATATATCTCTTTCATAGTGTTTTATTTCTTCATTAGTCAAACCAGAGAAAAAAAAACATATCACTCCATCCATTTACTAAATCTACACTATCAATTACACTATTTTCGCGACTGAATTACATATTCTTTCTTGTCCAATTGGGACTTAAAAGGATTAAATTTGGATTCTTTAACAATACCTTGTTTTTTTAAAAAAAAATTATTTACTTACTCGTTGAAATCAGTCCGAAGAGTGCAACTAGGAATACAAAAGACAAGTCCATGGTAACATATACTGCGATCAAAACTCCAACTAACAGCAATCATATCGACTGTCATTAAAAGCTTTATAGCAGGAGACATTTAAATTTCATTACTTCCGACAACAGACAAATATCTATTGTAGGAAGCAACAGCCTTATTACCTAAACCTTCAATTGAAATCCATAAAATATATTTAACTCTGCAGGAGAAAGTTTATAGATACATAACAAATTATAATAATGTCAGATAAGACGCGATGGCAGTGATCAATCTTTTATTTATCCAGTGTTAGAATATGTGCCAATTACTTGCTCAATACATATTATACAATATACAATATAATAATGCTTTGGCTATACTGATATGATAATGAATTAATTATGCTGATATGATAATGAATTAATTATGCTGATATGATAATGAATTAATTATGCTGATATGATAATGCATTGATAATACTGATACGATAATGCACCTAAAAACTGATATTATAACGTATTAACTATGCTGATAGAATAATGCGTTTCTGTTTTCAATTCGCACAATCTAGGATGTAAAATATTCATATATATATGACAGCTATATACACGTTTAAGAAAAGTTTGTTTTAATTCGTGGTGCTATCAGATCGAAATGACCGGGTGGTGAATTTTCTGAATCGATTACAACTTCTCTTCTCATCCTGATTCAGTATCTGTAAAATGCAGAAGAAGTCAAAGTCAAAGAAAATGGACAAAATTAAAAGAAATCATGCTGGACTTTCAGATTGTTGGTGTATAATTTTTTCGAAAAGCTTTTCGCCATTTTGTGGAAACTTCATCAATATTTATTGGTTGTTCACTGATGATATTCGGAAAAAACAAATAATAGAAGAAATAAATTCATAATAAAATAAATTCTTGTTCACAGGAGTTATGAAACTTTTTTTGTGTGACCTGCTCGAGTATCAACCTACCAGTGTATTCTGACCGCTTCATCCACCTTCTTCTCTAATATTTCTATAAATGATAATGAGTTACTGGTACTGAGTCGGAAAGGTTTTGGTGAGATGATCTTTAAATGGATAAAATGAAGTGCCTTGTACAATAAGGGGGAAACGGCTCTAACTTCTGAAGGGTTTTGATAATGGCAGGATCTGTAAAAGAATGAATTGTAAGAAATATTAATTTGATTGCACTTTAACTACAGCTGATGTTGAGGTTTGGGTTTTCTTGTACAGAGAGTGCAGTTTTAACTTTTCATAAGCTGAATCAGGTGGTTATTCTGCTTCCCACTCCAATATATAAAATAAAATTCATTTAAATGTTTCATTCATTCATTTGTTTCCATTGTTCCTAAAGAATGATAATATTCAAAATACCAAAAATATATCTGATTACTCTCAAATAAAACACAGTATAATTATAAACTATGATATTAAATGAATTGAAATTATAACTTGAGTCCCTTGCTTGGAAGTATTGATCAGAGGTAGAGAGTAAACAAGAGGATAAATATGAGAATTGGATGATGATGATGATGATGGTAATCACTAACTCCACGACAAGTAGGAGGTGGGCGAATGATGCTGAGAGTGGTTACGGTAGATGATGAATGATGATGATTATTCGGATGGTGATTACTGAAAGTATCAAAATAGATTACATACCTGTGCTGAGTTCATCACTGGTGATGTTGGTGATAACTCTGAACGGGCTGTTCAGGTCATCACCCGCTTCCTCCAAGTGGTTATATATTGAGATAAGATATGAAAATGATGAGTTAGAATCCAGGTGAAATGATGGATCGAAAAAGGAGGATGAAATTAAATAGTGGGCCTTTTCCAACATGGAAGAAGCTATCCTGACTTTCTGTAAAGCTCGAACAATGGCGATATCTGAAATAATATATTTCCCTGTTATAAGCAAATAAACAGAATAAAAAGACACTGCTTGGACTCTGCCGATTTTGCTCATTGGAAAACAATTTCGAATCTACGCTTTTATCTCGATCGGCGTTTGAAAGTACTGTGACCTAGAAAACCTCGTCTTCACTCATAATCTCATTGGACCAAGCTGTAAATGATGATACTGGAAAGATCGGTGCAAAGAGTTTGGCTAAGAACCAGCTGGTAGTAAGGATAAAGTAGTTATCCTTGTAACATATAGTTGTTTCTTCCTTGTTTTTTGTTTTCCTACATTTTGAGACTAAATTATTGGATCGTTTAGCGAACTATTCTGGGCAGTCAAATAAAAACCTTGGCTAAACCTTACCAAGTGACAAAGAAACAGGTAGTAAATTTCCCGCGTCTCTTGTCGCCAGTAAATTTTCTCAGTTTTTTGTCGCCATTTTACCTGAAATAAATATTAAAATAGGATCTTGAATACGTCGATTTATTCTGCTTTATAAAATGTATATAATAAAAATGCAAGTAAATAACAATTCCATTGATATCGCCACAGCATATAATTTTAATTTTGTAAATTGATGTTTTTCACGTTACGTTGCAATAAACTTATTTTAACGTACATGTATGATAACCTACTGGAGAAACCTAACAAGTATACCATTAAACTGGTCGGTTAGTCATTAAAATTTGGTTTTTTTTTAACTTATGATATGAAATGTTGATTTTAGGTTCATGTGATCAGCTTATAATTTATATTATTTTACTTACTTAAGAACAGAATCAAGCTTGAATTTTTCTTCACAAATACAGAGATTTATCTTTTACGTTTTATTTTCTTGTATCCAAACAAGAAATGATCACAGGAGGTGACAATCGACATGACATCATTTCAACAATAACATTGGTTTAGTCAATAATCGAATGGTACCAACCCCACTGTGGTAGAATTAGTATTGACAAATCAGAATGGAAAAAGCATCTAGGCGTGTGAAAGCTACGCGCTACCTAAAGATACCTCGACAGTTGGAAATCCATATAAAATTAGGCTGATAAAACTGTCCTTGCAAAATCTCGTGCTTTACACACTGCAATGCGTTTCATGTCTTATTTAGCCCAAAAAGGTGTCGAAAAGTTAGACGTAAAACGCTATTCATTTCTTCTGATTTAAAAGCTAGTAAAAGTTGAAGGTTCAATAGTAATAAGCCTAAAGAAAAGCAACAGCCAATGCAGCTGTTGTGGTGAAAATGGCAGTTGGGAAGGCCCTCAGTATTACAGCTTGTAGCAATTGAAGGGCCAGCAATAAAAAAAACTAAAGCCAATGTTGTATCTTACAGCAATTGAAAGGTCGTGGCTAATTTTGAATACCTTATAATGTGCAATAAAATTTATTTTCACTGTTAAAATAATGCTCAATTTTCCATTCCCATTTTCAGTTGGACAACTAGAACTTGTTCTCATGTCTGCATTTCGGGATAAGTTCGCAACGGTTGTTTAAAGAAGTTTTCTTTAGGGCATAAATGATGGAAAGCTAATCGGCTTGGTTTTATTTGTGTAAGCTTTAACTCTGCTATTAATAGACCAAGATATTTTGTTATTATTATTGTTAGTGGTGTAGAATTTTTATGAGATTTTATTATAGTTACAACTAGGCATATAACTATAACTTACCTTTACTGTAGTTTTGAATTTTTATGTATTTTGATAGAAGGTTTAAGATTTTATGTTGTTCCAGGTTATAACCAAATGACATGCCGGTTTATTTTCATTAACACACAAACCCACTCCAGCATCGTTCTATCAGTAATTAAATTTCTGACATATTACATGACATGTTTTGATATTAAACGACTGCATATGATTGTAAAAACTTTGCTTACCCGTGTGTTAAGTTAGTCCCAGATATAGACAATAATTTGTTTTTTAGAGCGACAGTTTCGAGTTACGACGATAATTAAAATGTCATGCGAGTAGGTCAATTTAAATATAAAAATGTCATGGAAGTAGGTCATCTCTAGAGAGAAAAACAAAATATTCATATTCATATAACGATTCTCTCTCCTTATATTCGAGTTTCCTGACAATACAGAATAGACTTAAGGTTGAATTATTTGCATTGAGGGGGTGGTAGTGGGGGAGGGGGGGGGGCAGTATAGTATCATCACTGCTACTAAACACCATTGCCCCTCCGGATATATAACATAACCCCCACCATCCGAACAATCAAGTCAGGCTACGGGCCTGCATTCATAACGAAAGTGAAATGTATGGATATTGCAAACTTTCAATATACACCGGGAATATGTTCATTTCCTTGTACCAGTCCAGAGAAATTGTCATTCAAAAATCCCAATATTGTTGAGAAAAAAAACTGAAGAATTATTTTGAAAATTATTTCATTTATTCATAAAACTATAGAATCCATTTAATCATTCGTTTTATTGGCAGAGCATTCTAGTACAGGCTACTGCAGTCTTGTCACCTTGTCCGGAACACCAACAAGTATTACAGTCTTCAGCATCTTTAAATGTATCACCGATATCATAAAATTTACCATTAAACCAACATTTACCAGGTAGATATGGGACGGATGCTGAAATATTATTAGGTAATGAAATATGAAATTTTTAATGACGATCAAAACATTAAAAACAAACGACATACGAGCTACGAGGAAAAGTGAGAATGAATGCAGTCTTTGGGTCGAGTTACGAGTAGGCAGGTTACAGCTGTTCGTTATAAGTTGTAATATAAATTTCAAGAGACTTTGTACTGTTAATTGAATTTTTTACACAAAAACACACAGGCTTCATACTATATTGAGGGGTAAACTGTTACGCAGAATGGTAAGTCCAAGCTCCTAGCTAAAAATATTTTCACTTACTTCTTTTGGCTAATGGAGAACATGCCATCCTAGTACAACCAACGATACCATCACTACAAAAACATCCGTTACAATCATCCATGAAAGTGTCACCATCTTCATACGTGTTGCCATTATATTCACAACCTTCTGAAATTTTCGAATGACCGTATATAAGGAAAAATCTTGCATGTTTCTAATAGCTAAATTGAAAGTTAAATGCTTCAAATTGTTAGAATTTTAACATGACACATAGATAAATGTACTAATTGTTTTACTTGGTTTCGGTGGACAAGCCTTTCTGGTACAACCAGCTTCGCCATCTCGACAAACACAATTGTTACAATTATCCATAAAGCTTTCACCATCTTCATACGTCTGGCCTTTATATTCACATGTTCCTGACAGAAAATGAAAAACAAATATTAATTAATAATAATGATACAATAATAAAATATTTTCACTGTTAAAATAGTGCTCAATACATTAATTGTAGAAATGAAATGAAATGAATGGAGTTTAACGTCCTACTATTCTGCACCATGTGGGCTAATGAAGACGGGCAACGACATGCAGGGTGCAATAAAAGAAATTTTGCCAGGCCAGCGACGTTAGTCCACTCTTTTTCGATTTCCAACTGTCGAGGGATCTTTAACGTGCACAGCCTGTAGCACACGGGGCCTCGGTTTACTGTCCCATCCGAACGACTAGACGCTTTATCCATGTCAGCCCCTCTTACCTACATCAATGACAGGGGGAAACCGGGTTGAAAAATTCGAAGGTATCGCATCGACCTATGCCGGGATTGAACCCTGGACCTTCAGGTTCACGAGCAAGTGTCTAATTCACTGAGGCTCCAATTAATTGTAGAGTGATATAGAAAAGACTCAGTAATATATCGAGAATGGGGGGAAGAAGCAGGACACGGTACACCACGAAAGTACACTGCTAAAATCTTGTTGAAAACGCCTAATAAATGATTAGGAGTGGACATATTATTAACTGAAATCAAAGTATTAGTCAGTTTTAATACATGGTGTAAATGAAAGGGCAAGAAAGTCATAACTGTTATTATGTATCATATTATGTACGACATGGATTGATATTAGTTATAAATTGTTACACTTACTTGGAAGACAGGCCATCAGAGTACATGCACTTAGGCCATTTTCTCCACAAACACATGAATTGCAATCGTCCGTAAACTGTTCTCCTGGTTGATACATTGCCCCATTAATATAACATCCTTGAAGTTGAATTGGCGGGGAAGCTGAAATAGATACATATCTTGAAATAACTTTTTTGATTATATAAAATTGATGCTGGAACTATACTAAAGCACGCAAACTGTCAAATATTTAGGGCTAAGTAATCTCAAAGTCTTCTGCAATAATCACCTACATGGTTAGCGCATACGGTTGGGAATACATGATTCTATGATTTGCTAAACATGGTTGAAAAGTCATACAAATATTTTAACCTGTGGTTTGGGAGTGGGAAGGGACACGTGAGCGACGTTATTGTCCGAGTGTTATTTCAGAAACACAAGATAAAATTTAGATGCTTCTTTGTGACACGACAAAAGAGAAATGGCATTTGTAACATTGCCCAGTTCAAGGGAAGTAACTTTGTTTGAATTTCTAACGTGTTTATTTAAAAGTAGATTAAGAAAGTTAATATGAAAAAGTAACTGAATCGGTCACTGAGTTCATCTGAAATGATGGAAGACGTAGATTTTTTTCATCGTGAAGTCGTCCATATAGTTTTCAATAAAATAAATACGATACATCCTATATTATTTGACGTGGATGTAAATTTCAGCTACCAGATAGGTGAACACAAACAAAAAATAACTTACTTGTCGAAACAATTCCACACAAAGCAGCCACGAACATTACCATAAACGAAATCATTTTGTTACTGTAATGTTCCATATATCGTTTGAGGTAGTTTATATACTTTAAATGGCGATTTTAATCATCTTAATTTCTTCCGGACAACACAAATAAAACACAGCTGGAACCGGGTATATTGAAATATAATTGAAGAGTAGGTGTGTTTGGGCAATACTGGGATTATTTGATAAGTTATCTGATGTACCTATTCTCCGGAAGATGTGTAGCAAATTTTCGACCCTTATAATTTCTAGTGATTCAAATATGAATGTCCAAATTTCTAACAAATCAATTCTGTACATCGGATATTGAGACTAAGAAAATAGGGTTGGTGGATATGTGTTGGGTTATTTGTAATATAATCACTGAATAAAGAGGGGAGGGGGTAGGTGGGTGAGTTTACGATACGTTAACTGCCTCCCTCAAATACACTAGTAGGTCAAAACTCAAATGGGACGATCAGGTAGTACTGTGTAAATAATAAACGCGATGAAAGTTTGATAAGTTTGGAATTTAGGCCTAGATTACAGTTTGTTCAAAAGACTTTGAGTTGGTACTCGTGTATTTATATAATCTAATGTAATTGGCTTTAAGAAATCTAATGATAAACAATCATGAAGGTTAAAATGAATTAATTTTATTTCTTCTGAAGAAGTTATACATTTTTATTACATTCTGTAGTCATTCTGAAAAGATTTTATGTGATGCTAAAGTTTCAATGTTGAAATATAGTTCACTGTTGTATGAATGGACATATTAAGTAATCTGAGCTGTTGTAGATGCTCAATCTTGCAAAAGAATAGCTGTTTGCATTGAATATATGTCGGAGGAAATATAATTTTTGTGGAATAATTAGAATTTAAATATCGGAAGGTTAGAGAGAGATCCACATGGAGAATGCGAACGGTTGTGTTTAAAGTTTCGAAATCCATATTGCATTCAATTAGAGGGCGTAGAATTATTAAGGTGTCGACTGATGATCAAGGAGTTCAAAGAGGTAATATGAAGACACACATTATGTCAATTACATTATAATATAGTAAATCATTGAAAATAGAATGATTCCAAGACTTTAAAATGGTAGAGCAATTTTTTTAGCTCATAAAATATATCATTATGCTCGGAAATTATTCCAAAGTGTTTTTGACAATTTTGATCGCACGTGGAGTTCACATTATATGATTGTTTGGCTTCTACATTATTATACCATTTTTCTAGAATTGATGTCTTTATAGAAGATTGGTCTAAATTTGGATTTGGATGGATTCTACCACAGTTTAAATTGATTAAGAGATATGTAGACTAAACTAAGCTCTGTCCTGTTAAGAATGTTATATTTTATTTAAAATTTGCAGAAATTATTAATGATAAGTCCATTGAATTATTGCGCGAAATATTAATTTATTTGGGCTTCATGATCAGCGTGCAGTGGTTGGGGTATACCTGGTCGACTTATTGCAGTGAGCCGTTTAAAGATGCTTCAAAAACGTCATTTTTTCATCGTTCTTTGTGTTTCATATGGTAGATAGTAGTTTGCTGTAATACCAGTAATGTGTTTTGATAATTGTGGATATGGCTAATGTTTCCCTGGATAATGTGTTTATGCAGAAGAATTTTATTTATTCATGTTGATCATTTAATGTATATTTTTGTTTATTTTTGGTGTTATAGAAAGAAAATAGCTCAATGTACGACAGTGTATTCAATCAGCGAATGCGACTGTGTTTTTTCTTAAAACCCAGAATAACCAATTTAAATAAGTTTGCGATCTTTTTTTTAAGGAACAGATCAATCAGCTCATCAGCATTCATCACCATTAAGCTCAAACAATTTAGTCGATTCTCACACATCACGCTGCTAGTAGGACACTTCATTAGTTTAATCTTGAAAAAGATCGCTCTGCAGATGCATTCAACACCATTATGCTCAAATATATCCTCAGAGTTACCTCTACATTAGGATACTCAGCTTGTAATTTTTATGCTTTTATTAGCTGCTTCTTTCAGTTTCTAGGGCTCAGACCGTTTTTAAGAACTTTCTCCCATCCGTCCTTCTGTTTTTGAGCCATGATTACTTTACGCTGTTAAGTATAATTATTTTTGTGTATATTATTTATCAGTTACAGAGTAGGCCCTATAAATCAATTGCATATAATTTGTTAAAAATGTGTAGCTGTAGGCCTCACAAAAAGTTGATAGCGTAAATATGACAATTAAGTTAACAATAAAAACTTCCGAAGCCGAAAGTCGGGACAGTTTAAATTTATTTATTACGCCATTACGGACAGTTACTCAATAAAATGTGTGTGACTGGACTAAGCATACGGCCGCGGGTCGGTAGGCCCTATCTGCGAAGCGAAGTTTAATATAAAGCAAAGACAAATATCGTCCTCTGGTAACGAAGCTTGTGTCTTGACGACTACTGACACAAAAGGCAACAGAGTAGCATCGTCTGTTATTAATCTAGTAGGGAATATGAATATCGAACGGTATTTCAATAAAAAGTCAACTAGTAAACAAGACAAAATAAATTACACGATGATGTGCAAGCGGTAGGTTGGTAGGTAAAAAGTCGATACGATAAGAGTAAAGGTAGCTACGTTTCGGGATTAATTCCTTTATTAAGCAAAACAAAACAAAAATGGGTGGGAAAGGTTCTCTACGAAGAACAGCAACTGACAAGAAATGACACATCCATCGAGGTAAGGTGAAGAAATAAATTTTTTCAAGGGAGATAATAAACTAAATAATTATATAGGTCACAGAAACATTAAAGAATGGCAAAGAAATGGCTGAAAGAGGAAGAATAGACAAATTTAAATATGAGAACTGTTTGTTCATCCCTGCAGGTGCTCAGGTTGCGAGATCTTAAAATAATGTAAACAAGGAAGGTTAGTATGTTTTAGGTGAAGAAATTTCTCATCGACTGGGCCGAATTTTCGATGGGCCTGCGGAAATTTAGGAACTGTTCAATAATTTTGACTGTTTGTTTGTAATTTGCCATGGGCCGAATTTTCCATGGGCCGAAAGACAGCTGCCTAGTTATAGGTTAATCCGCGCTACCGCGTTGTATAAAATTTTACCTGTAGGTTTACAAGCACAAAATCTTGGAGAACTTCTAGTTTGTGGACGATTCGAAAAAAAGAATAGGAGTTTCAACCCTTGATACACTGAAATTTAAAGTTAAATATGGCACGTGATGTAGATAGACGTCACAGTTTTTATACTATTTTTATAAAATTTGATGTGTAGGTTTTTACATCTTGGAAAAGTTCTAATTTGGGGACGATTCGGCAAAGAAAATAGAAGTTTCAGCCCTGATACACTGAAATTGTGTTAACTGTGGCTTGTGAACGCGAAAGAATTTCGAACTGTATTTTAATGAAAAGTCGACTAGTTAAGAAGGAAAAATTACACGATAACGTGCAAACGGTAGGTAAAAAGTCGATACAATAAGAGTAAAGGTAGCTACGTTTCGGGACTGATCCCTTCACTGAGCGAAACAAAGGTAAAATAGGTGAGAAAGGTTCTATCTCTACGAAGAACAGCACTAATCTGACAACAAAAATGACACCTTCATCGAGGTGATCTGAACAAATAAATTTTTTCAAGGGAGATAATAAACTAAATAATTATATAGGTCACAGAAACATTAAAGAATGGCAAATAAATGGCTGAAAGAGGAAGAGAAGACAAATTTAAATATGAGAACTGTTTGTTCATTCCTTCAGGTGCTCAGGTTGTGAGAACTTTATAATAATGTCAATAAGGAAGTTTAGTAGGCCTATGTTTTAGGTGAGAAATTTTTTCGTTTTCTTAACTTTTAAGTAGCCTACGAGGAGAGCTGTCTATTTTTGGCCATTTTATTTTCTGATCATAATGTTATCTCCATCATCTATTAGCTACCTTGCTGGAGGTTTTAAAGCCGATTGAAAAAATGATCACCGTGAAACAGCATTTCAGCCAGGAAGCTCTTACCACTAAAATAACAAAAACTCATTTCATATCGTTTATTACTAAAATGAGTCGTCCTCATAATAAATACATTATTGATTTACATCATTTAACTCAACGCATGCCATCAATGTACAGGAAACACCATATTCGCCATTCTCGAAAACTGAACATCCACAATCATTACAGTCGTCGCTATCTTTGAAAGTTGCACCATTGTCATAAAATTGACCATTGTAATAACACTTTCCCTCAATATAAGGTTCCGATGCTGTAAAAAGAAAATAGAAAAGAAATACATCAGCAGAGGATTAGACTTAGTTCTGTGGATCACTGAACATAGTTTATTTTGACACAAATTACCAATATCAAGAGGGAACGGAAGGACTGGTAATTTGAACAGACGTCAAAGATACACCTGAAGTCGAGAATTTGAAACTCTGGTTATTTGATCATGTACTCAGCATTCATATAGTCTAACTGTTGATTGAGTGAATGGTACAAAAAGATATACAAATTAAGCTTACTTCTTCTTTCTCTTTTTAAGCAACCCATTTTAGTACAGCCTGCGTGTCCATCTTCACCACATACGCATCTGTTACATTCCTTCATAAAACTTTCACCAACCTTGTAATATTTGCCATTGCTGTAACATGCCGTTAGACCTGGAAAATCAAGTCTTACCGTATGTGATAGTCCGAACAATATATTGCTCCAAATTTAAATTCATACGACACTAGCAACTAATCTATGACAAATTCAAAATAAAAAATTCTACATGATGATTTGTAATATTGGTTATATGAGAGCACATGATTTTGAAGTGAGTCTTGAATATAATTATGTAAATAGTTTGCAGAAGTACAAGAAATATACGAAAATCGCATAATTCCTTCAAAAATATCTCAAACTAGGAATTTCTTTTTCTGGCAGTGTCTCAAGATAAGACGACTCGTCTTTTAAAACTTTTAAACGCGGATAATTCTGGACACACATAGATTTGAAGGCTCAAATATTTCGACGGTGAGCTGTGAACACTATAACTGATTGGCTTAGCTAAAAAAAAATCCGTTTCTGAGACTAAGGTACGATTGGTAAAAAAATGGCGCATCTACCCCTTCAAGACTCCAAGCTCGTGAAACACTGAAGAAATGCACATTAAATGCTTTGATTGTAATAGCTATAATCTGTTCTTTGATATTTTTAAGTAACAATGAACAGAATTGACTAACCATTTAAACGAAAAATATAAATCTTTGAACTACTTACTAGAGTAGACAGATCCACAAAGAACAGCGACCAAAATAACAGATAAGCAATGCATATTGTTTCGTTAAACTTCAATCCTTAGCTAATGCTGGTTAAATTTAAATCAAGGGTCCTATTTATACCCTTTATCAATCCTATCCACGTAGCAATCTATATTTTTCAATATATAATATAACTGAATTGAATTTTATTGGTTCCGATACTTACAATCATGTAACAGTCTAGATGATATTTAATGGCAATTAAAACACTATCTGATTTGAAACTTGAACTTGTAATTCCGGCCTATAAAGCTTTATTGTTCCGGGGCCGTTTACAAACCAATATTTTGTTTGACGCCAGAATCATTAAATTATAAATTATTTTTTGTTTTAAATAGGATAATGATCGTATGCACCAAATAAAATAACACGAATTAAATTCTATTATGCCCTAATAACATTTACCTCTACATTCGATTTTATATTTGGGTTTGATTGCGGAATGATGAACCAACCAATTCTATTCGTGAACCATTGTAGAAAACTCCCTTTGTCGGTTTCGGATCTTTCCACATAAACGATTATTTAAACGAATAATATATGCATTTGGCGCCTTTAACTATTTAATCCCTTTTAAGAGACATGACAAAAATAGCCTAGACCCCTTAGCATAGACTTTGGAGGAGGAATACAAATCGAGGTTTAAAATTGAATGGGCAATCGTTTTTATACTACAGTGAAACCAGTAAGTCAATGCTTGTTAATGGACGATTTAACTATTCTCAGTCTGTAGTTATCACCATTTCACTCATTTATATATTGCTATAATATTTATTATATAAATAACAATTGTAATTGTATACTTTGGTATATTTTTTTGGGGGGGGGGGGGCCTTGGGATGGGTTCCTACGATAGTTGAGCCACTACCACCAGGCTAAAATTTCAGATCGTTAGCTAATTAGCCTCTCTAAAATGACATTCAATCACTGATTATTTATCGGAAATCTGTTGATAATTGTCGTTACTGATTATTCATAATCCATTAAAACAATTTAGCTTGAATTTTTTTGAATTAAATAAGCAATCGGTTTGGAACCAAAACACGGCGGTTGCTCAACTAGATGAGTGGAGGCCCGTGGACTAAAGTGGGTTTTGGCCTCTTTCCCTTGAAATTTGTTTTTAACATATGCTCTGCATTCTTAGATAACCCCTCCTACACCTGGGATTCAATTTACTGCTTAAGACTTGAAGATTTTATGGTTAAATTGGGATGTCATGCTGGTAAATGGGTTCATGTGTTAAAAGGGAGTGTGTCCTGATTAAAAATAAGACCACAATCATGTATCTCAATAAACACAATCATGGGGAATTAGTTTTGCTTAACTTGCACTTTTGTCTTTTCAGTTTCACACCGGAAGTTTGTCATGGACACGGAAATGGTCATCACATCTTTAATGCCAGGGTTGAACATCTGGAAGGCATTTGGCAATGAATCCATTCTAACATATATCTTAGTGTTTTCCGTCTTTGCTACCATAGATCCTAACCGCCAAGAGCTCGGGAGTAAACCGATGGCTATCGGTCTGGCAGCCGCTTTGTGCCATTTTGCATGGGTAAATCTTGGATTTGCTGATACTTTTGATCCTTTGGGATCCAATTCATCTGCATGAGTAGGAACGTTAGCGAGTGGTTAAAGGGTCCCGAGTAAGTCTCCTCTCCATGGTCATCATTACAAACTCATGATCCAGATGTGATCTACTTTGATTTGCACTGGTAGGCTAGTAGACAAACAAAGGCCACGGGTAAAAATGTATTATTTTCCGCCTTTACTTGGTTATTATTACAGATGGTGGTCCTCGTAGTCCTCTTTCCCCATAAGATTGAAATAGAACTACATAATACAATAAACATCTTTATCTACAAACATATTTACATACAGACCGTATTTACTAAAAAAAAAAGGATATTTATAATCATAGACTTTAAATATTAAAACTACCGTTGTTTTTAAATATTAAAGCTACCATGAAGTTTAAAGAGGAAGGGGGAGAAGGGATGGAAGTTAATATCGTAGCTTTTAAAACTACCATTCCCTCTCCCTCTTCCTTGCACTTCATGGAAGCTTTGAAAACTACTATCTTCTATCCATCTTTCCCTTTCTTGCACTTCATGGAAGCTTCCAGTCTGAGTAAGAAAGAGGAAGAAGAATACGGGGTGGTAGTTATTAAAGCGGTCATGACGTGTAAGAAAGAGGGAAAGGGATGGTCGTTATAAAGCTATCATGAAGTGAGAGAAAGAGAAATATGTGATTGTAGCTATTAAAGCTATCATTAAGTGTTAAAAAGGGGCAGAAGGAGAAGGAAAGGAGAAGGTAGTTATAAGAGCTAATATAAAGTATAAGAAAGAGGAAAAGGTGATAGTAGCTATAAAAACTACCATATAGTGTAAAAAAAAGAGGAAGAGGGGATGGTAGTTATTTTGTCTACAATAAAGTGTAAGGAAGAGGTAGAGAAGAGGAGATGGTTGTTATAAAAGCTACCACGAAGTATAAAAAAAGAGGAAGAGGAAGTGGTTATTATTTTATCTACCATGTAGTGTAAGAAAGAGGAAGAGGCGGAGAGGAGATGGTAGTTATTAAAGCTACAATGAAGTGTAATAAGGAGGAAGAGGGGGAGAGGAGGCGGTAGTTATTAAAGCTACAATGAAGTGTAAGAAAGAGGAGGAGGAGAGGAGATGGTAGTTATTAAAGCTACAATGTAGTGTAAGAAAGAGGAAGAGGGGATGGTTGTTATTTTATCTACCATGTAGTGTAAGAAAGAGGAAGAGGAAGAGAGGAGATGGTAGATATTAAAGCAACAATGAAGTGTAAGAAAGATGATGAGGAAGAGGAGAGGAAATGGTAGTTATAAGAGCTACCATGAAGTTGAAGAAAGAAGAAGAGGAATGTATTTTTAGGGGTTAGACTTCCAATCAGGTTCAATGAATCAGTTGTGTTGAATCCAGTAAAGTTATTTTAGTTCATCAATCCGAATATACAAAGGAACAATTTTGTGCATTACACGTATAAAACGGATATAACTTTCAAAATTATGGTCGAACCTTGTACTACTTTCAGGTATTAAAAGCAACCACTAATAATGAAAATTTTATTAAGTCACAAATATATGTCATATTTTTAATTTAAACGAATTTTCCTTTAGTACCATCTGAAATACTTACTTCATCAGGTTCTGCAATGAGTTCCCGGTACACTAAATCCATTTCTTCATCTTGGGTTCGGCAGCATCCAATCCAGCTTGTAGTGCAGCTGCAGCCAAACCAGCTTGAGGTGCATCAGCAGATCCAGCTTGTGGTGCAGCAGGCTGAGCAGGGACTTTGGGCTCGGAAGGCTGTGAAGTGCTAGCTTCGGGAACTGGAGACTGTGCTGATGCCAGTAATATTTGGAGTTGTGGGGACGCCCTGACAGAAGAGTCAATAGTGAGTATTTTACCATTGTTAAGCATATTCACGAGATTATAAGTCTCTGGAGACTACATCATTTGATCAAACATTTGTTGATGCTCCGATTCTTCTGGCTTTTTATCTTCTGCTGAATCATTCCGGGGTCTTGATGGCCCTTGCTCCTAAGGACGAAAAGTATGGAACTAGATTTTCAATGGATCAATCAATAAGTATAAGCTCTAACTTTCTGAAGACGATACTGATTTGATGTTTTCAGTCACCAAAATAATCTAATGTTCTCCATAACGTTATCATATATTCCCCTTTAATATTGCATATAGCAGGGGAAACAGTGCCTTAAAATTTAAGATTGGATACTTACCGGATCTCAAGGCACATTCCCTTATCACAGCTCGGTTAATTCTGTCACCATTTCTTGAGGATCCTTGATCCTGCAAAAGAAAGAGATAACAATAATAACACCTCATAATAGAATCCCGAGTCATTGAAGAAAAGAAGAATACCCAAAGATCAAATACCTTATCGGCGTCACAAATGAGTTGTCTGTATAAAAGATAAATCGGGAAAAAAAACATTGATACGTTGCTATAAAGAGTAAAAATGCAACTACAGTGTGGTTTCTTATACTTCATGGTAGCTTTAATAACTACTATCCGCCTTCCTCTCCCCTCATCCTCTTTCTTGCTCTAAAGTGGTACATGTAATTATTGTTCACAGTCGTCTGCATTAAAAGCGATCCATTTGTGCATAAGAAAATACCAGATGCCATAAGTGTTCTCAAATGCACATTATAAGTTAAGAAATACGTATAGATTCTTATATAGTTCATTTGAACCTAACCCTTTTTTCAGATTTTTAAATTTCTTTTTCAAACTTTTTTTTTCGTCGGCTTCTGTGGGTTCTTCTCCCTCCGCATTGTCTTTGACCCCTTCACCATTTTTTTCAAAAGTCTTAGAGACGACACTTTCTATACAGTGACATAGGTCTGTGCGAATTGGCGAGAGAGTGACACCTCTGCGAGGTGGCGAGTTATAGACATATTTTTTCAGTCCTAGTTCTTCTGTTGACTTCTTATCCTTTTTTCTTCCCCTTTCTTGGTTTTCTTCATCCTCGGCAACATTAACATCTTCGCTACCTCGGCCGGATCTCGTCCTGGAGTTAAACCTTTCCTTCAAATTATTACATCTCTCCTTGAGGCCTTTCTTTTTCTTTTTTCCCTTGACAACTTGTGACGATCCTCTTTCAACCTATTCTGTCTCACCCTCTCCTTTTGATGACTTTTCCGATTTAGTTTTGTTTGAGTTGTCTTTTTTGTGAGAGGTTTTCATTTTCGTGCCGAGATCGGCTTCCACATCGAACGGCTCCTTCCTCTCTTTCCCTTTTCGGCTTCTATGTGATAATCCTTTGACTTTTCTTTTTTCTTACTTTTCTTTCCACCTTTATCGGCGTCCCCTTTCGACATCGTCAACATCAGTGTTTGATGTAGCTTCGATGTATCTGAAGGTTGCTTCTCGATTTCCACCTTCTGAGATTCATCATCTCTTTTCTGCGTCCTCGTCCCGGGGCTACCATATCTTCCTCTATATCTTTTTTTGAGGCTTAATCTCTTATTTTTAGATTTAGTTGGCACCTCATCTTCACCAACGTTTGTGGAGCTCCCTTCCGCCTTTTCGGCAACCTTAGATACCGCTTCTTCTGGTTCCTTATCTTTTTTCTTTTTTGTATCTTCCCCGCTGCTTATCTGTTCTTCGCCACTGCATATGTTGCTCTCTGTTCCGGGAGATCTGGAATTATCTTCCTTTGTTGCCTTGGTATGATCGGAGTTCTCCGATTTCGCCAAATCATCTTTTTTTCGCCCTCGGCTCCATTTTGTTTCATAAGCTTGGACATCTTCGCCGCCTCTACTTTCCTGGTACTGTGGACCATCTTTTTGTGTTTCCTCTTTTGAATCTTCTGAATCACTGGAATAATCGTTTTGGCTCTCACAATCTTCATGCTTTCGTTTTTGAAGCCTCCTCTTTGATATAACTGAAAGCATTGTTTCTTGAGCTTTGGCAGACTGTCCTCGATGTTTCTTTCTTCATCTTTCAAATGTTTTATCTTCGCAACAGATTGACTTGAAAATTTGATATTAGCTCTTCCACTTTCTTGTAAAATCTTGATCTCTTTTTTTAACTTGTCCGAGGTGTGTGTTCTTTCTAATGTCACTTGAAGTTTTTATGGCGGACAGTTTTATTGCATTTCGTTTTTCGGACTCAATCTCGCTCGCACCCAACTTCTTTGCCAAGCGTTCTTTAGTCACCAGGTTATCCTTTACTTCCGAGTGTGTCATGTTCTCACGTCGAAGGCTCTTCTTTTGTGTCTGGTCATGGGCTTTCAAAAAATTCGTTCTCACTCTTATCTTTGCGGTTCAGACTTTTTGTTGTCGGCATATTCTAAAGCTTCTTTGCTTTGCACTGTCCCACTCTTCCTTTGTGTTGGACAGACGGCTTTTCCTTTCGGATCCTTGCTGACAATTTCATTCTCACTCTCGCTCTCTTCTCCTTGCGGTTTAAGCTTTTTTTTTTGGCAGCGGATTTTTCAAAGGCTTCTTTGCTTTGCACTGTCCCATTCTTCCATTGTGTCGGACCGACGGCTTTCCCTTTCGATTTCTTGCTGAAAATTGCATTCTCACTCTCGCTCTCTGCTCCTTGCTGAAAGGCCTTGTCCCACTCCTCTTTTGACTTTGACCAGTGGTCTTCATGGCAGCTCTTACCCGATCAAGATCAATTCCTCCATAGCTTTCTTCAATTTCACTTTCCGTAGCGCTTACTCCAGCTTGTGCTTTCTCCTTGCCCATGGCATCCACAGGGGTCTTGGAAAATCTTTGACATGCTCAATCCAGCTTCTACTTTAAATCGAGCTTTCAGCTAACTCTGCAACTTTCCTTTCCTTTCAATGCAGCTCTTCCTGTTTTCCATTGCACGAGGATTTTCTTTTTTCTCGTTGGCGTTGATTTTAGCGTTCATTCTAGATCTTATCCTATGAAGTTCAGTTCCCCAAAGCTTCCTTCAATTTCACTTTCGCTTTCGCTTTCTTGGGGCTCAATTCTACTTCTTCTTTCAAATGAGCTTTCACCAAGATCTACCATGCTCCTTTCTGCTCGACTTTTAATTTTGCTCTGTCATTGTTTATGTTCAGGAGGCTTCGTCACTCATAGCGAGGGTAGCTGCTATTCTTGCTCTAATCCGAGTTGGAGTTTCTCTAAAGCTTCTTTCAATTTCACTTTCGCGTTCGCTTTCTTTTGGCTGTGCTTTCTCCTTTCCCATGGAATCTCCAACTGGGGCTTTTTCTGGCAACTTCTTTCACTGGCTCAATCTAGCTTCTGCTTTCAAATGAACTTTCACTTAGATCTACCACGCTCCTTTCTGCTCGTCTTTCAATTCTACTCTGCCTTTGTTCGTCAAGGGCTCTGAGTTTAGCGCTTATTTTAGCTCTCTTCAAGTTAAGTTTTTCCTAAACATTCACCAACTCCACTTTCGCTTTCGCTTTTTTCGGCTTAAAACTCCGACTCCCTGTGTAATTCCTTGTTTTCACAGACTGGATCTCGCTAAAGCCATGGCTATCGTCTTCACTCGGGCTCAATCTTTTTGTTGTTGATGCGTCATCGTATCAAGAATACGGGTTTGACATGGTTTTATTAACCCGTATTAAACTAAGCCAACTTGACTTCGTTTTCTGGGCGTGGAAATGAGACCAATCAGATTGGTAGAAGGGAAATGAGGTCATGTAAACAAAACACTACATCGCTTTGCTGCCGCCCATGTGAAGGGATAAGAACACATTCTTTCCAAGTAAATATACCAAGTACGGTTTGATTTTCTCTCCTCTTCAATTCTTTACCGAAAACCATGCTCAATTCTGTACCATACATATTAATCAAAATACATATTAGCAGGCTGCTTATGTTTTGTTCGCAAACAGAGCGTCATAACGAATGATTTGAGTGCCTGGAATTTTGCTACCAATACAGTAGGGCCAATTTTGATTGGACAATATTTAGCTATGAATATGTAGTGTTTCCCACTTGTATTACAACGGTCTCAAGGAAGTATGCAAATAATCGCAAATTAACTGAACACCATATGAACACTTCCCAGAAGTAGCATGTGAAAAGGACTATATTTAGGACTCTCATCTACTGAAAGACCGTCTTAGATTCTAGTTCTATTTTGAACTCAATTCATATCAAACAAAAGGCAAGGGAAAGTTTCGAGAAAAGTATGCCCGTTACTCATAATATTTCCTTAAGCCAAAAGTGGTACCACCTTCAGAAAACATAAACAGGAAATGAAGCATATATTTTATATGCCCACAGATATATTATATTATTATCACCCTGGCAAACCGTCGGTCCGTTCGCATTTGGCTCGTGCTCACTCTACAGGTTACAATTCTTTACAGATTCTTATTCTTATTTAGTTGGTCAATTTCATTATGAAGATCATCCCTATCGATTTTTGTGATAATCTGATAATTTTTCACTGAAATATTGTGTATGACTTAGTGTTTTCAATCTATTATATTGTGCATCTCGTGCTCACTTTACAGGCTACAATTCTTTACAGATTCTTATGCTTTTTATTTTGTGGGTCAATGTCATTATGAGGATGATCTCTATCGATTTACATGATAATCTGATAATTTTTCACCAAAATGTGTTTTCATCTTAGTGTGCACTCTACAGTCAACAATTCTTTATAGATTCTTTTGATTTTAATATACCCACACATAGTATGGATTTAAATCTGTTAAACTACAGACTACATTTCTGGATGTATTCTTTTGTTTTTTTGTTTGTAAATATATCAAATTTCGTCATAAGATTGATATTTGGGTAAAGAATTGATTTAATGTTTTGCAGTGTGTCCGGTATTCACGATTCTTTATCTTTTAGATGCATATATCTTTTACACAATCTACTGTCTATTTTCAAGAATCAAGACATGCGTAAAAAACTAGCTATAGTGCAATACAATAAAGTTAAAATTATCTATAGACTTAACATGAATCTTGTCAGATTGCAAAGATTATTAAAATTTCTCCTAAATCATTTTTCTTGATTTTATTATTTTGAAAAGACATATTAACTCAACTTTCTTCGACATAGTAAGTATCTCGTTTTGATACAAATGCAATTTTAATTTACAGTCAGAGCACAAGATCCTGAGATTGTGGATGAAATCTGGCCTGAAGTGAAACCTATTGGACGAACTGGTAGATTGAACTGTACTGTAGCTAACAAAGAACCTCATGTTGTAAGTGTACCAAAGATTTTTAAGGATGGGGAGAACCCTGATTAATTAGATTTGATTTAAACAGTCTTAGTGAAATGCAAAAGGATTAAATTAAGTATACTATATGCATAGACTATTTAAAAAAACTAGGTCATTCTCTTTGAGTTTATGATCACCTAGATAAAAAAAAATTATCTAACTATATATAGAATTAGTATACTCTCGCTTTTGTTGGTATTTGCATATTTATGATGATTTCATTAATGTGTGAATGAGAAGCCTGTAATTAATTGTATATAAATGTATTATTTATATTGTAAGGTATTTAGTCAGGGCCCCAATCTTGGCAATACCATTTTTCTGTTCTGGGCAATAAAATGGTTTATATAAAAATAAACTGAAAAAAAAAAAAACTATATATAGAATTATCAAACTAGTGCCATAACACATTTTATGACTGTATATATCAGATTTAATTGTTAAATTGTCAAAAATGAAGCTATTTTATAAGTATAACTTGTTTCTAGAGTCTCAATCTGTATCTAATTACAGCTGGAGTAACTGGAATAATGAATCAGGGAAATATAAGGTCTATATTAAGTATTGATTAATATATGATTATGATTATTCACCTATTCAAGGTTTTTGTATGTACTAAAGAATTTATTTGTTGCGTTTTTAAAGGTACAATGGACACTTCTTGGTCAGGAGGTTGAAGTCATCAGTCAAGATGAATCTATTTATATCATGAATCCTATTATGGGTGGGTTACGTAAATATGAAGTTCAAGTCAGGCAAGCTGAGAATCGTATGACCTATATGTTGATTATTCGACGATTAAGAGAACAGAATGCTGGAACCTATGAATGTTCAGTTCTTATAACTGGTGCTGATAATACTAAATGGCCTAAAAAGTTAGGTCTGCTGACAGTACAAGGTAAGGCTTGTGGCACATAATGAAAAAAAACCTAAATAGCATCAAAGAAGTATTAAGCTCAAACTCAGTAGAGCTTCTAACATTTTTAACATTAGCCCCACAGGAACATCAATTGCAAATTAGTAATGAAAAGAAATGTTAATCTCAATTTTAATATGGATTTTGCCCCAATAGAAAATTTTAAAGTGGGGAAAAAACACTATATTTGTAACAATTTTTTTTCAACTGAAAAATATTTTGAATCAGTTTTCACATTTAGCATGTGTGATGAAGAGAAAGTAACTAGACAGTTAGTTTGTCATATGTATGATGTGGTTATAGTGATTGCTACTGAAAATAAAAATGTTTGTCCCTTCTATTTATTACAAAAAGTAACCAAGACCAACTCCCAACTACTGTTGATTTGTTCTATTTAAGTTTCTCCCACAATTCGTCCTGGTGATACTGATACTATTGTTCAAGCTGATCCTGGATCAAATACTACCCTTACATGTGCAGCTACTGGTATTCCAGCACCAAATATCACATGGACTAGATCTGATGGTGGACAACTTCCTGATGGATCAGCTCAAAGAAGGGTATGTAGAACTTTCTTGGAATGCCACCAATATTAATATGTATACCACAACTTACTTTTTGTTTGTACATCTGCTGAGTAGTAAATTGTTATGTGAACTGAATATTGCCTTCTTGTGAGGACAAATTTTAGGCTTTAAGCATTTAAGGAATGCTTAGTTTAGATAAAGGCTGTGTATTTGCATCTTTGACAGGTTAACACAACCGATTTCAAATAGTCTTATCTATTCATGACCAGATCAATTAGGTTCCAATATCGTCATATGTAGAAGAAACACAAGACTCGTTTGGTTAATATAAGAATTTAGTATAAGTTTGATATGTTAGAAATATGTTTATTGTCCTATGGTGAATTATGAATTTTAGGGTGCTGTTCTTCCTCTGATCAATGTAACACCCAAGATGTCTGGTTTATACCGCTGTGTTGCTGATAATAACATCAAACCTCCAGCTGATCATTTGGCTGAAGTGTTGATTTTCAATTCACCCAGATCTAGAGTTGTACAGAACTCAGTTGGTCAAGCTCTGGGTGGAAGATATAATGCTAAACTGGAGTGTATTGTTGCAGGTAATTGCAGGAGTGCTTTGAACTGTCTAAATTTATATTTAATGACATGAAATTAGCTGAATAGCCTGTTGGGCATGATGTCTTGATAATTTTGCCATGTTTAAATAAAGCTATTATATAAACTTAACACAGCATTGAATCTTGTGGCCCCATATTCTTGTCATTTACAATTCATATAACTCCAATTGTTAGTTACAAATCTGGGGTATAATATATAATTGCTGACAGGCATTTTAAAATTCTTCACTTACAACTGGACCCAAAATGAGGCCTTTTGGTTATTTACTTACTGAATACATTCCATTTCATAAGTCAATAGGCATGTCAGAAATTTTTTAGAAGGAGAAAAAATCTTTGGTATACAATTTGACGAAATTATTCCTGTGAATTTCAGGATATCCAGAACCATCTGTAACCTTTGCCCGTTTGGTTGGTGGTGCTGTGGTTCAGATTAATGATAATGATGATTTTGTGATCAATAAACAAACCACTGATAACCAAAATTTATATGCACAAGAACAATGGTATACTTTACAAATTAAGAATGTCAAAGCTGGTCATTTTACTGATTATTATTGTATAGCTAAAAACCCTTATGGTGAATACACCTCTACTATATCTTTATTTGGTAAGTATTCAAAATAAGTTTGGTGGAAAAATGGATTTGCTGTTGTTTTGTTTCCATCTTTTCAAAAATTGTGTGAGATGTATTTTAGGGTGGCAAATTCCTAATCTCTGTGTTGCAAATTCCTTTTAGGGGGGATATTTCTAAAGCCTAATGTTTGTGTCTTAGTTTATTTGATCATTGGTCATGTATAATATTATGAATTGTAGGAAGATTTTTCAATTACTATTAATCACTATTAAATCAAATCCTTACTAATTTGAAATGCAACTTTTTGCATAATAACAATCTTATCGCAGTTGACCTTTCAAAATGCTTTGTTTTTTGTCAACTTTTCCTGGATTTGGAGAACATTTTCAATTTTGCTTTGATCATTACTAATAGTAAAATAAAAAACACTCTGCTTATTTTTCAGAAACAACTGAGTGTCAAGGACCAAATTGTCCATCCTTCCCTTCTGGTGGAGCAGATTTCATCAAGATTTCTACATTTGCCATTTTACTTCCCATAGTATCTTCATTTTTATTCTTACATAATTGATCAGTTACAGACAGTGTAGATTTAATGGTGCAAGTTTATAAATATTTTGAAGGGGGGGGGGATCGTATTAATTTTAATTATAGAATCTATGAATTATTTTAATTATAATTACTGAATTTGGAGATGCACATAGCTCTGGAGGATGTGCAAATTTAAGTCAAAGCATCTGTAAACTGAATGTTTTTTATAGCTACTTAATTCTGTGGAAGAATTTTTATTGAAATTAAAGGTTGTTTTTTTAGTAGTCAATATGATTATTCTAAAATTATCTTGATTTTGATTATCAAATTTGTTAATTAAAACGCAAAATTTAAAGAAAGGAATAGTATATTCATACTAGCGCTTTTAAGCAAATAGATGGATTAAAAGTTTATTCCAAATCTATGTTTAAGGAAAAATAAAATTTCATGTTCTATTTTCTTAGTTCTAATATATTATTATTATAGTGCTTTACATAGATCCAAAACAAATTCAGTCTTATCAATTTCATAATTCACATAAAAAAATACTTCTTTTGTTGTTAATGTTTCTTTCTTTACTGTTACTAACAGTTTATATTAAATTATGAATATTTTAAAAAATCATCTTGTAACAATAATACCTATTTTTATATATAAATATAAGAAATGGCTAAGCCTTCTCAGTGAATCCATTTGGAAATGAAATTTCCTTTTTGGTTGTTATTCAAGCAAAAAGCTAAGCATTTGAACAAGGTCGTAAAAGCTGTTTTTCACTTTGAAATTATTGAAATACAACTGCATGTATATAAATTGAATAATGTTTAGCATATCTGTAATTTTCATGAAAAATAAAACATTCCAATCTTTTCATAATAATTGTATATATTACGTAGATGTAGATTTTTTGTATACTGTCATATCATGTTTTTTTTTAATTTCATACATTTTGAAAAGGAATGGGTACATGTGTGCTAAACATAAGCATGAGTGTTAAAAATGAACTTGCATGGAAAGAATGGCCAAGTTGCTCTTTGTAATTTTGACATGGACATTCCTTTAAATATGCACTATCAACTACCACAATTTGTTAATGCCTTGTAAAAATTTTATTCATATCATTTTTATATAAACATATTTTCTTTAGATGTTGTTTCTTTTTGTATACTCCCATCTAATGGTGCCATGATGCTAATGATTCTTACATAATCATATCAGTTTTACTGAAAATATGTAGGCTAAAAGAATAATTTTGATTGAAAATGCCTGAAACAACCAATTGATGATAAATACCCTTAGATACCCCATTGTCTTCGAGCACTGTAATTCTGCTCTAGCGAAACAGTATTTGTGGTCTTATATACACGCAATTACTTGGTTATTTCCCTTCCACCATTAAACACTATAATGTTCCACAGTCTGTTAAAAATCTGACTATGAACCTAGTCTGAACCAATGTCCTGGGATAAAACGGGTAAAACAGACTTTTATTTGTCCAAATCTGTAAAGCGGATGTTCAAGAGACAGAGGAGATAAGCCTAAACCGTCCAAAAGTCGCTAAATCATCATCTTTTTTCAGCAAATACCGTGTGCTTGACATCAGGGTTCATATAAGTCAGGAATTTGGGATGATATGGAGACCAAATAACAGAGTCGAGTTCTCAATAGCCATATCTGCACTTCAAAACAACTGCTAAAAAGGTTGGTTAGTACTTAAGGCAGAAAAGTGAATTGATTTCAAATCCTCTTTATCGTCTCCTATTTTCTGACTTTCTTTGCTTGAACTTTTTTCTATCCATAGAGAATAAAGACGAATGTTTTCTTGCTGGTCTTTAATTATTTCAATATTGAAGTCTTTCTAACCATGTAATTGTTAAACTGAAATCCTTGGACATTTTGTTAAAACACTTCATTTCCTGCAAACAAAAACCAATTTCATTTAAAATCTGTATTCGTTTGAGAGACGTTTTTCTCGAGTTTGGTCAATGGATAAAAACAAGTGCAACGGATTTCTTTCGTTATTAAATTTCTCTTACAATCTTAAATTAGTTTCACACGTTTTCATTTCGTCTCGGGTTTCCTTCATCGCTAACTTTTTTTTTATACTTGAAGAAATTAAAGATTAATTTGAACAGAAATCAAATATTGGATTGTCGACTATTGGTTGGTTTATTTGGACAGAGTGGAGAAGAGTTAATACAGTCAGCACTTTAAAATATGAGAGTGAAGCTGAAAGTTTTGAAGATGGGAAAAATTTGTTAAGCTTACTGCAGACGTCGAGATATCAAGATGTTCTAAAGGATAATATTCGAGAACAGTCTACTAGAGTTTTCAGTATTGAACGCTGAAAATACATCCAAGGACACGTGACAATACAAACTTTCTTGATATTATATTATAAAAGCCAACCAATTCCCAGTCAGGTTCAGAAACGAAGGACGTTAAACTCGATTATTTTATTTCTTGCCATTCGTAATTCTTTTTAAAGAATGTAGTTGCGAATACGACCATGAACTAAGCGAGCAATTATTGTCTAACGCGTTTTCCAAAATCAGCATGACTATTTCAAGAAAGCTTATCAAGACTAAAAAATTTGGTAATTTGTCACCAAACTGTTCAAAGCTATAACAAGATTATTTGGAATTTGTGAATGAAAGTCTCGGTAGGCTGATAACCAAATAAACATTAATAATTCTTTGTGGTATTTGATCAGTAGTGCAGTAAAAATAATTGAGACAGTCAGACGGGAGATACACTGAGTGCATTGAAAATAATTCCAGTCAACTTAGTAATCACTGGGGAATATTGTCACTTCTTTGTTTATTTTGTTAATTTTAACACGAAAAGACCGCTAATTAGTCACATAATCTAACGATGGTTTTTCTAAATGCAGTTCCGAAACGTATTTTATTTGAGCATGATGATAGCATTAATGGGATATGTGACTTTTTAAAATCGAAATCATGAAGTCATTATTTCAGAATGCTGCTTTATATCCAACTGTTAAACCCTTATTGTTGGTGTTAGTAACATCCCACTACTAGTTTGGACTGAGGTCTCTATATCTTGAATTACTTGGATTACTGATAATTCCCTTATACCATTATTTCACTAAAAAAAATATTTTCCCAAACTACTCGTTTTTCTCGCGCGAAGAACGACAGAAATCGAAGATTTTCCGTTTTTCGTCCATCTTAACCCACCACCCGCCATGGTCCATTAAAAACCTAGACTAGATCTGGCAGATTTGAAAAAGTAATCTGTCACTTTTTCCAAACCGGACCCTCGGAGGCGATCGCACCAGACCTTCTCCCGCTGGTAAAATGAAGTGATTATGGTGCTCACAGGTTCCTGCCTTTTTCGTAAAAATTTGCCGTTTGATCGGATACTATTTGGACCAAAATGATACTTGGTATTTGGGGTATAATGAAGGCTTGATTGTACAAATTGAAATGGCCTTAATGATCTATCGTTCAATGTAAAATGTTGCTACAAAAAGATAACAGGAAATTTATTTCATGGTCAAGGCCACGCTTGTCCCAGATTGCCCATTATGTGCTATCAGAATTTACACGAAAAGTACAACGCCATTTACTAATTAAAGTAATCGCGGTAAAAGAATGGTTAACAATAGATCAAAACCAATCTCTTCCTCATGATACCATTTCGTTTTGTAATACAGTGATTTCGTTCTTGTAGAAGTGTAAAAATTTAATTTCCGTTCTGACAATTTTAGCCTTTTAGCCAATTATTAGACAAATTATCAGACTGAATCAACGTCTTCCTTATTTTAATTAGGTCACATAATCACTTCCTGTTATTGTTTCTAGGTGACTTTAACAATTTTATTTTATTATCACGAGACAAAGGGTTTTCAATCCATTTCTTTCTATGACACCTTTCAGGATCCGTCATAAATTGCATCACTCCCTTTCCTCTATAAACCCATATTTTTACCCCTCTCCCCACTATAAATCTTTACTATTTCGTGAATTTCTCTAAGGTTTTTCCTGCAACCTTTTACATATCACGAAATATAGGCTGACTGAACAGAACGACTAAAATTATAATTGTCCAATAATTACAAAGCGCCTCGTTAGCCCCCCAAAATTTCAAAATTGCTCTCTTGGGGAATTTATTAAAATGTCTATAAGATTACATATGCGTGGCAAGAAATATCATAAGTAAAATTGATTGTAATGTTTTTAAGAAACCAATCTCTAACGTAAAAAAAATTGTCAACGACTTACGTGCATATTAATCGTTGTGATTACATTCGCTTATAAACCTACAGGTTTGTTTTTAGTACTACACTGACAGTTTACAAACATTTCAAGCATCTTGTGAGTTTTGTAGCTCCCTACCGACCCTATTCTTATCAAATTGGCATTGATTTTTGCGTTACACTTTTGGAGCATCACCGTTTTTTCGAGTAGTAGCTATATTTAAGGTCTATGGTTATTGAAACAGTAGCTTAATAAGAAAACGATTCGATTTGAATATGATTATACATCAGACGGCGTTTTGTGAACTTTAGAAATTACGTTGATCTTTTGGTATTTGCTTATCTCTTGGTAAATTATTTGAGAACCCTTTATTCGTCTATTACCTATTGTTGATTTACATATGAAGGCTCTGCCGATTGTTGTAATTTACATTTGAGATGTTGCTTTTATGCTTAAAAACATATTTGGTATCCATGCAAATCGCAATTTAAAGTAACAAATGAACTGAATTTTTGAAAATTTGGTAATCATTTTGTTGCTTAAAAATCAACATATTAATTACCTGCGGGTTTGTGGAGCTTTGATGTGATTAGATGATATAATTATGTATATGGTGGTGAAGATAATATTATGCCATTAGTCTTCATTATCCTTGAGAATAAGCCGATAGACATTAAAGAAAAAAACAACAACAGCAAAAGACCAACAAGTTTATTTCAGTGAAGAAGATTGAAAAAGCGAAGTTTTCTTTCTCACAAGTGCGCTGCGCATGTCATGATTCAATTCTATACTCCGAAGAGTAAAACCACTATAATAACATTATGCAACGATTCTATACGAATTTTTCTCCCTTCCTTTTTGTGATCATGCATGCCTATTTTTGACTGAATTTGTTATGTAAAAATGTATTTTCTTTCAAATTTTGTGAGATGGTGAGGTTTACAAGCAGAAGAATAATCATAAAAATATAGTGTTGTCTGCAGTAACAGTCAAGTGGATATTGATAAAATGTGGTGGTCTACTTTCAGTTTAAGATTGTTCATGGTCGTGATGTATTGAATTTTTGTTCAGAAACTAAGCATTGGCCTGGCTTTCATGTAACATATTGGAAAGTTTTCAGCGATATTTCTGGAAAGAGTTATAGACCGTTGAATTTCGTGATTTAACATGGGAACCGATCGGAAATGATTTGGTGTTTTGACCCTCTATGAGATAAAACAACTTTTCGATGTATGTACTACAATAACTGTTGACACTTAAGATTGTTGACCATCGCGATGAGGAGAATTTCCTAAAGAATTCTTGACTCTTTGAAGTGGAAAGAGATTAAACGATATAGAGGGGAAATGGCTTATTATTATTTACAATATCATAACCCGAAATAATGTTTATTTATTTGTATAATCTAAAGATATAAGGACATTCACAGCGTACTTATATTAGCCTAAACAGGTAAATTTCTCGCCCAATAATCTGGAATTTGTTACTGATGATGATACTCGAGATACCTTTTTAACTGAATTACGTTAACAATTTCCTTTTTGATACTTCCAAAAGACTTTTATGTATCTCTTAAAATGTGACGAAAATAAACTCCTTGAGTCGAGGTAGTAAAATACAGACTTTTGGTAATGCATTAAAGAATAATAGTATTAACAGTGGTTCAACGACCACAGGGAATGGTTGAACCAAGACCACGGGCCCTATCTCCAGAAAAAAATAAAGCAGAGCATAAAAAAAACATTTCTCATGGAGGGATCCCAACCCACTTAAGTTCAGTGGCGGCGCCAGCCTTCCGAGACTGGGAATACAAATAGGGGGCACACTGACTACCAACAACTACCTAGTTTGCGATATCAGCATCCGCTGGAAGCGAACGTTAACTTGTCATCTACCTACCTACTCAATGGGTGGGATAACTGCTAAGGCTGAATTCAAATTTTGGCTTCTCTGTGGTGGTGTCATAGTCGCAAGCCTCTTATAGAGCGTCTTAAAAAGTTCTCTCAAGAAAATTTTAGAAAAAAATGAATTGATTTTGTGCATTCTGACACATATTTTTGAGAAAAAAGGTAAACATTTAGATTTGTTGAAAATAAATGTAAATGCCACTGCATCCACGGGCACCCACTCATCTATTCGAGCCACTGAGTATGGACGAGTGAATGGCAATACTTCATTAAAAAAGATATTGAAATGGAACTTTTACGTGCATTTTGAACATTTTGACAATTGTCCTAAGTTTGTTCCTGAATATCTTATAGATTAAGCATGATTTCTTTGCCATGATTTTATCTGTAGAAATGTGTCAACGACAGCCCTTAAAATAGATAGCAATTTTCGTGAAATTGTCCTTTTAACCAAATCACCTGATATGACTATCAGTTGACTGTTGCTATTCTAAATAATCTCTAACATTCATCTGTAAAGGTCACTATGTTGTTTTGAAAATAATACTTATTCCAAATGATGGATGAGGCGAACCATAAAACGTAGGACTAACGTCGGTATTGTGAGGTTAATAAGAGGAATTATCACAGCGATACAATCCCCGGCTGGTCATTGTGATCATATTAACTTAGTTTTCAATCCAAATCACAGCAAGTAAGGAATATAATGTCTCTACTGTATCAAGGATAATTGATTGATTGGTAATTTCCAGGTCGTGTCAATAGGTCGATCAATAATTTGCTTTTGTTCAGATTGATATACAATATAATTCACTGTTTACAGTTGAGTCAAGGTTTGTCTAGAAATTCCCGTGCAGACTAAAGAGAGTATGCTAGCATATGCTACAGGAACTTAAGATCGTTCAGTTATGCAGATAGAAGTGAAAAAAGCGTTTTCTTGTCGATGGGACAACAAGTCCCGGTCTGCTACAGGCGGCGAAAGTTAAAAATGCTCCGAAAGTTTGAAATCGAAGTAAGGTAACTGATGTCCTGGAAATATTCCCCTCGTCGAGACAAATACATATTAAACGTTCAGGATTGCCTATCTCCACTGTGATCTGCCGATTTATAGTAAATATTTAGTCATAAACGTCGTATTGCATGTTGAACGTTAATGTTAATTGCTAACCTTGTCAATATAGCCTGCTATTTAAATCGACTTATGAAGGGTATATCAAAATATACTTTACACATTTACGCTTTGATAAGTATATTCAAGAAATTTCGATCAACCAACCATATCTTTTATATTTTTATTTAACTTTGATATTGGAATGTTATTGACGGGAACATAGGCCAATATTTCGACATGTTTTGGTTAGATAATTACGATATTAAGAGCATATTTCATTCTAATGAAGCAACAATTTGCATGTGCATTGTTTCTGGAGTGATTACAGTTACAGCGGTGTATGGTTTCTACAGAAGATTCATCGTAAAAAGGTATTTTGATAAAGTTTAAATAGGTATGTCCATAACATTAGGACACTTCTTGATTTCTAAATAACTGATTCTTTCCAAGTGTTTGTTTAATATTTATTTTTGTACCGATGATAAGGAAATACTCAAGTAGAAGCAAAACATATACATATGTATACACAACCGTCAACATAACCCACCAGCTGGCAAAAGTGCAGCAGTAGATCTCTTGCCAGAAATTAACCAGACCAGGACATCTCGGACCAAAGATAAATCGGACCAACTTTCAAAGACAACTCTCACCACTTTTTTAAGACTCGGCCCTATTTTCAAAAACAACCCGGACCACTCTTTTAAGATTCGGCCCAACTTTCAAAGACAACTCGGACCACTTTTTTTTTAAAAGACTTCAACCACATTTTCAAACTTCTGCCCACTGTCAAAGACAACTTGGATCACTCGAAGACCAAATGATTGTAATTACTGCAAAAGTTTTTTGATCATAACAGTAAATAAACATGTAAATATGTAACTGTTCATTATCTTCTACACAAGTATTACATTATTATAACTAAATTATTTGTGTCTCTATTCATTTTAGAAGAAAAACCCTCCCTAAAGACTTAGCAATGGTTCATGGAGTCGGTAGAGGACCTCATATACCGAGCTTGTCGCCGTTTGTTCTGAAAATGGAGACATATTTTAGAATGAATGATATACCCTATTTGGTAATTTGTAGTTTTTCTTAACTAAAGATTTGATCGGAGAGATATTCTGGCCAACTTATTGAGCAAACAGAGTGTCATTGAAATTAATTTCACTGGTTTTTCGCCAGTGTCCGCACTGTAACAGTCTTGGTCGGCGATTTTGGTCGTCCACTCGAATCTTGAGTAAAATCTTGCGTGTGCCCGCCGATTATTTCGATTATTGTCGTCGATTATTTTATCGTCTGCAAAACAGAGCGTTATCATCCAATCAGATTCATTTTCCTCTCAATTGCATGATTCGCACGTGATTATCGACATAGTGGAAACCATCGAGTGGAGATTTTTGTTTCCTCGTGCGCCCGCATCCTGTCGGTGAAACTCTTGACAAGACTCTAGTTGGCGACCGAGACTCGTGTGCCCGCATTCCCGCACCATTAGACGAATGGGGCAATTAATTGAAGCCCTGTCTATTGCAAGTCTTTGCTCGAGATAGCAATCAAAATAGTATAATGACACTTTTCTGCAAACTTTTCTTCATTGCATACTGCATGGCGTAGCCCATCTTCTATTTTTCCAACTTGGTTAAACATTTTTAAATGTATTCAATTCTGTAATTCTCACATTTAGGAATTAATATGTATATTATGTCAGTTTTAATGAATTCCATGTATGGCTTAATGTACCTCCTCCTTCCTCATCCGACACTCGTGGATCACTCAGACAAAACAATATAATTTCAGTCAGACAAAGATATTGTCATGTCATCCAAAGGTAAGATTCCGTGGGTTGAGTATAATGGTGAGGTCATCGAAGATTCTACTTTCATCATAGAATTTTTCAAAAAGAAATTGTCTATTGATATGAATAAAGATTTATCTCTGAAAGAAAAGGGTCTGTCACGAGCTATCCAAAAGATGATAGAAGAAAACTTCTTTTGGTATGTGGTGGTAGATTTTTATGTTTAAATGATGCTGTATTATGTGGCGGATGCTTCTGCGAATAAAATTAATAGTTCCCATAATTATCATTATAATTGTAAGTTGGCATCCAACTTGGTTATGAAACAAAAGCGATAAACTTCTTGATTAGATGTTGTTGTTTCTTATAATTCACATGGTCATACTCGGTAGCACATTATTATTCTTTCTTTTTGTGAAGGGGTTTCCATCGTTTAAGTGCAAGAAAGTCTAGAATGTTGCTCGAACAATGAAAGGTATATTTAAACGATGCTAAATTTTTGAAGGTGCTTGGCTCTTTGTCGATGGATGTATGACGAAACAGATAAACAATGGATGGGTCTTGGATGGTTGGTACCAAAATTTATCAAACGGACAGTGAAAAAGAGTACATGGGCAGCTGGAATTAGTCGACATACCCAGAAAGAAGTTTTAGAGATTATGGAATCGGATATAAAAGCAATATCAGATATATTAGGTAATATAAGATTTAGTTTGCACTTTTTGATGGATCAACAAATGCCCAAAAGTCGCTCGATTCTCTGAGTTAAGGCGATCATTTAGCCTTTTCGGTTGCTGAGAGGCAGCATAAAGTTTTGTTTAAAGTGGATGTTGGTATTGTGTTTTCAAAGCAAACAATTAGATTTATTGTTGTTTTGGTCATGCAAGAAGTCAAGAAGACCCACACTTGAACTATTTCTGAAGTCAAATAAACGCCGAAAATATCAGGGTGGTTCATTGTGTATTATTATTATAAATTTCTAGCATTTTTCCAAATGTTCTGCAGGAAGCCAAAAATATATCATGGGAAATGAACCAACTGAGGTGGATTGTTGTGTGTTTGGTTTTTTGGCTCAGATCTTCTACGCTTGTCATGAAAAGTCACTGATAAGTTTGGTTGGAGGTTAGCTCACATTGTTTACTTGAATAACACTTTTAGAAACATTTTAATTTTTTTCGACAATTATCTGTTATTAGTTTGTTTTGGGCGAATCTGCGTAGACTTGTGGCATGGTATTTGCATTCAATGATTGTCAACAATAGTATTTCAAATAGTAATAATGTTGAAAAATGATTCACGAATAGTCTCGGTGAGTAATACCTTTGCTCGCTAACTTGAGGGTTCAATCTCGGCACAGTTCGAGAGGATACCTTCGGATATTTCAACCCGGTTTCCCTCTTGTCAGTGATGCAGGGGCTGATATGGAAAAGAGTCTAATACTTCGGACTGGAAAAAAGCCAAGGCGATAGGCTGTGCTATCTACAATTAGAAATATGATAAGTATAGGCTAATACCGCTGTCTGGCAAACATTTCCTTTATTGTACATAACATGGTATTGTCCGTCTTCATTAGCCCTTAAGGTGAAGAAGAGTAGGACGTAAAACTCCATTTATTTCCTACCATTTAAAATTTAAATAATAAATCTGTCTTTTTAGAGAAGTATCCAAACCTTAAAGATTATTGTTTGAGAATGAAGAATCGTTACTGGGCAGACTGGGATGATTGTATTACACATGATGGTACACGAACACCAATTCGGTAACAGAGAAACGGAAATGGATTGCAATGCAGTCCCTTTTTAACGGACTTTTTTTTATCTTATAAGAATGTATTCTTTGAAAAAACATAAGGGCGGGAATGACGACGGTCTAAGTATCAGACCCGTAGCAATACTTAAATGTAACTAAATGTTTAGTTCAGTAATGGAATTGGTCGGATGTCAGAATTTTTCCGGCGGATGGGGTTGGGAGGTAATATATTTTTTGTCCCCAGTAGGTAAGAGCTGCTATGTATTTTTGCGTGCATTTATCTTTTACTGCATGGGACTTTGTGCTGCTATAAAAAAAAAAAAAAAAAACACGATGTTAATACAATCAGTAATACCTGCTCTAATATGAATAACACTTATACCGTCGTCACTTCCATCCGTAACTTTTTCATAAATCAGAGACGACCCTTGTTTCAAAGGGCAAAAAGTTTTAAATATTTGTGAGAATATCTTTATAAATCTTTGGTAAGAAATCCGTTTGATATTAAGAATTGACTCTTAACTTTATATAAGTTGATCAGTTTTTGGAGTTTTTCGACGAAAATATTTGTCGGCATTTAAAGAGGTACAGAGATTTAAAGCAAAGATAGTATTCAATATCAATTTGTCCTAAAGTTAAATTGTATACGAACCAACGGTCAAAAATGAGAAAATACACTTTCTCACGTACGTGTTATGAGAAACTTTCAAACAGAATAATTAAATTCTTTTCGAAAATTTTCGCATATCATTTTTCAAATCTTTAATCAAGCAAAAATGAATAGCGGTGATGTTGCTATTAGAGTTTGCTATCAAATGGATCGTGTCTATAAATCACTTTTATCTGTAAATGATGTTCACTTTATAGGCGGTGACTACAATGAACCTCGGTGTTCAGTTTGATCATTAATTTAATAGCTACACCTTTCGTTAAATGGACAATCGTTTTATAATGACCATTCGTTTTAAAGGGGTGATGCCATGTGTACACGATGACTTATACCACGGTGCAGCTAAGTTTTCAGTTTCCTTTAAACAAAGGCATAGAACAACTGTAAACAAATTCATTGAAACTATTCGTTCTTTTGTTTTATTATGATTTTGAACATATCGAGGTGAAACCATTTTTTTTTAATAACGTTGTAAATTAAAGCCCTTTAATCTGCAGTTAGCTCAAGCCCCATAAGGTACAAATATCTAGGCATTGATATTTTGAAATCGGTAGTCACCTTTTAATATTCGAAATTTAAACAATCAAGAGGTCATTTTGTTCAGTTTTTAGACTAGAGAGTATAAAGAGGGCATTATGCTTGTTTTGTTAATGTACATACGAGATATTAAATAAAATAGACACCTCATTATTTTAATGTGATTTATAGATTCATTATAGTCTGTTAATAATTTCTACTGGTTCTCCAATTCTCGACGATCTCAAGGTTGTGTATGCTATGAAGATATATTGGAAAAATATTCTGATTACCAACGCTTGTGAAAAGTCCTTGTAGGTACAATTTGTTTTAATGAAATGTGCGTCCATGTGTATATTTTGAAAATTATTTTGCCAAATGCTTTGAGAAAACACATAGGCAAGATAACCTGGACTGAGATTTGTATTTCTCTATTATCTTCTTAAATGGTTATTTGAACACTTTTGTCCACTCATTATTGTAGACATAATACTGTATTATTAGCAAATCATTATTGTAAACAATATACATGTGTATTTGCAAATCTTTATTGTAAATATTATATTTGCAAATAATTATTGTAAAAATTATATTAGCAAATCATTATTGTTAACATTATATTAATAAATCATTATTATAGAAGACATTATATTAGTAAATCAATATTGTAGGCATTATATTTGCAAATCATTATTGTAAACATTATATTTGCAAATCATTATTGTAAACATTATATTTGCAAATCATTATTGTAAACATTATATTTGCAAGTCATTATTGTCGAAATTATTGTAGAAATTGTAGATTCACTGCTAACGGACATAACATAATATGTTTGTTTGCACTTTTTAGGTCGCAAATATATGTTAAAATTTACCTCTGGTCAGGGCAATATCAAAATATTTGGTAACGCATAATACTGCTTAAAATATGTGATCACGGCAAGGTCACATCCATATATTTGTGTGTGAAGTCATATCGATTATAAGGCGTCACATATTTAGAATTAAGCTTGCTTTAACATAAGAGTTCATATCTTTGTCGCAACAGAATAAAGAAAAATTGAAAATTATTGACTCAATCATTTCTAGAGCTTTGGTCCAGATCTATTTTACTCCAAGATATTTAAGCAATCAATAAATCAAATATAATATTTCAAGATTCTTTTAATTTTTTATGAGAATGAAATGTTAAGAGAAATATTATGATGAATTACTTTGGTTTGTTAAGTTTAATTTGGATATTCTCTGAGCTAATAAATTATTCACATTAATTTCATTGGCCTGATTCTAGAATCTGATTGATCACACCTAGTATCTTATATTTAGGTTAGGAAATTGTGTTTCTATCCTTTTTACACTCTCAGAAATCGGTCGATGTAAGTTCCAATGATAGATTACGCTGACATATATTCGAGATTACGACAACAATGGGCATTACGATCTTGGTTTAATATTTCGGCATCATTAGGTATGATATGATATGATTGTACAATAGCAATTGCAACCAACAGAAGCACTTGATAAATACCCCTGTAAACAAGTTCAATCTTTCTGTCGTGGACTCTGATTGGCTGTGTGTTGATACAAGATAAAGTGCTTAATGATGTCCATGTATTAACCCCAAGTTCGTAATATCTTGACATTGTGAAGGTGGTATTGGGGATACTTAAAGATACATCTGAAACGCATACTTGTAAATATACAGTTACATACAGACACATAAAGGGATACTTAGTTCGGTTGTCTGGTATACAGAAGCCATGAAAAATATCCATCTGAAGCCTGTTGGTATTGTAATTCCTCGAAGTTTCCATGAAATAAAACGGTGTTTAAAAATTCTATTTTGAATCCTTAAATTGTTTTGCACATCGCTGTTGATATAGGCTTGATATATAAGTTCATACAAGTTCGATTATTTAATTCCTTTAAAACACTTTAACAAATTAAAATAGAAATCAGGTGATAAAGAATGGCGAAGATCGTTGTCCACGGGTCAAGAAAACACCACTTTTGTCAACGTATCAAAGTACTATGTTTATTTACTGAAGGTGATTTTTTAAGTAACTAAAACAAACGTACACCAAATAAAAATATGCAAGTTAATTAAAACTCAAACGGAACACATCAAGAAACGTAAAGTAGAAAATTGTGTTTAAATACGAAGCCAATATAGATGGTCAATTGACCAAATAAACTGACCAACGTTAATCTGTATATGTGTGGTCAAGTGAAATGAGGTGTGTAATAAATGGACACAGTGGTCACTGTCACTCTATAATTGGTCGGAATATTAATGTGAGCATATTTCTTTAAGGTTCATTTCAACTGTAATATATGCATACTTATTGTAATGAACCATGTAAAGGACCTTTTAATGGTTTCGAGGGTTTGTTTATAAATATCATATTTGAAGTTTAAAATGGTTTCAGATGATTTATGTACAGATTTTGAGTTTAAAGCAATGGTTAAAACATCTGTCCTACCCACGAAAGGTAACATTCTATCAAAATAAGGGTTTCATAATCACATTAATGAAGGAATCATAAATACAACAAACAATCCGCTCATTCCTTAAGTTCATCACACAATACAATGGCTCTCGCAATATATAAGTCTTATACTAATTTGAACTGGAAAAGACCCTACCATTCGACTTTGGGGATATATTGTTTGTTATCCTGCTAAACTCAGTGGATGGTGTTGAAAATTTATGCAATTCTTTCGTCAGGGAGTTCAAAGAAAACTCTGATTTACAAGTTGATGCCGTACTGGGCCACAGTGGCACCTTTCAAACCGATATTTTTTGTAAATTGAATTAATGCAGTGTATTTTAACACTGAAAAATAATTTCAGGTGACGATGATTGAAAAAGATTTAACCACTGGAGACATAAATACGGCAAAAATAATTATAAATTTTAATTCTTCTAAAAATGTAATTTGTTAACAATATGAGGCGTCAGGTAAAATGATTTTCAATCCCATGAGAAGGAAAATCTTCTTTATCTTAACCTAGGTGATATATTATATCTAAGACAAATACTTCAGCCTGTTAAAATACTATTACGAAATAAAGTTGGAGTATTGACAAAAGCTATAGGAATGTTGTTTCAATCTATGAACTGAAATCATTTGTAAGGTTAGATTGTATATGATACTCGCAATTTGTCATAATCAGTCAGACGCTAATCGCTCTTAAGAAAATCTTCTTCAGTTAAAGAGGCAATATTGCCTTCATATACAGACTATTATGACCAAACTAACATGATATTGAATGGAGATTAGAACACAATAGATATGTATCTTACGGTACCTATCAATAGATTTTCAAATTCAGCTTCTAAGAGTCATTGTGTGAAGTACAATGGGTTGCGAAAATCAAAGATACCTTGATATAGACTTTAGAATCCGAAATATATCTACTACCTTAGAAATACCCATTGTCAATCATTTTTATCAAGTTTGATATTTTGGACATTTGATTTTACAGAGTACATTCAGAATGTTGAACATTTCCATAATATGCAATAGTTTCAATGTATTACTTATTACCAAAATTATATTTCAATGAACCTAAAGACATTATAAGACAAATAGGAAACATTGCTTTTGAACGTGTCTGATATGATATAACATATAAAAAATATTTAGAAAACAGTTTAAAGAACAAAATATTGTCAAGGAAAGTTGTATTTACAAGCACTCCTCGGTGACGCTAGATTGGAGAGTTTAGAACAGTCTGTTTCAATTCTACTCCCAATCGAACGGTTTCACATTCAAAATCTTCTCATCTACTTTATTATCTGCCACTTTGAATTCTGTTTGCA